GACGGGGTTTCACCATGTTGACCAGGATGGTCTTGATCTCTTGACCTCGTGATCCACCCGCCTCGGCCTCCCAAAGTGCTGGGATTACAGGCGTGAGCCCATTTTTTTTTAAAGTAAGCGCCCCAAAACATTTTAGCTGGGGGCAATATTAGAGTTTTTTTTTTTTTTTTAAATCACTGAAGTCAGCTTTTCCCCAAGCATCAAATGGCAAAAGCCAAGCCTTAAACATTGAGAGCAGCCTGACAGTTGAAACTTACTCACACACGTGGCATCTGGCATGAGCATGTGGCCACTGAGGCAAAAGCACTTGTAGCTTCCGTGTGTATTCACACATCTGTGTTGGCATGGCCGGGGGTTCATTCCACACTCATTCATGTCTGCAGGGGCATTTAGAAAACAGGGAAAGGTGAACTGAATCAGGAAATATCCAGATGGAGAAGATTAGACCCCAGTCTTGGGAAAGACAACTGGGTTATCTTCCCTGAACGCCACCACTTACACACTTCCTTTCCTACCATCAAATTCCATTTTAAAGGATTGGCTAGAATGTGGAGCAAATGGAATTATAATCATACACCACGGGAAGGAATGCAAATTGGTACAACACTTTGGAAAACTGCTTGGCAGAATCTACTAAAGCTATATTTAGACATACTCATGACCTAGAAATCCCAGTCCTGGGTATAAAACCAACAGAAATGTGGATTTTAGCCCACTAAAAAAACCCTGCATACTAAAATGATCATAATAGCATGATACTTGATAGCCCCAAACTGTAAGTAATCCAAACACCTCCCAAAAGAAGAATAGGTAAATGACTTGTATATTGACACAATGGACTACTATATAGCAATGAAACTGAACAAAAGACAGCTACAGGCAACAATGGATGAATCTCACAAACATGATATTGAGTGGAAGAAGCTGGATACAAATGTGTATATACTATATGAGTCCATTTATATACAGTTAAAAAAGCAGGCACAGCTAATCTGTGATATAAGAGGTCAAGATATGGTTCTCTCACTGGGCATGGAAGTGACTGGAAAGGGTGTGAGAGAGTCCTCTGAGGGGCTAAGTTTCTGGTTTTTGATCTAGATACTGGTGACACAGGCATTTAGAAAAATTCATGGAGCCATACATTTTTGATATATGCACAATTCTATCTGTATACTACTTGACAAAAAGAAATAGACAATTTATATATTTCTCCCTTTCATGCTGTCCCAAGCAGCTGATGACATAGGCTGACAGTACAGCCTCCCGTCAATTATTGCTATTTTTGGCGGCCCCTGCACTGGCCAAATTACATTCCTCTAGAGGGAGCCCTGGCAGACAGCTCTTAGTGGTGAAGTTGGAGGACAATATTTAATCCTGAGTAAAGATGTTCACAGGGTGACATTTTGGGCTGGATGATCCTGTGTTATCATTTAACACAGGATGTTAAATGATAAAAGAAGGTTACAAAACTCTCTGTACAGATCACTCCAAAATTTGTTTAAAAAATACACAGGAAAAGAAAAGCCTAGGAGGGTATGCTCTAAATGCGACTAATGGTTATCTTCAGGTGGTAAGATTGAGGGTGACTTTCTTCTCTGTGCTTTTGTGTTTTCTAAAAAAAAAAAAAAAAAACTAAGTAACATTTTTATTAAAATAAAAAATGACACAGAAGGAAATAAAACTTTAAAAAGGATCATCTGGAGAAGATCTTGCCTTTGGTATTGCTGGTTCTAGATCCTTGAGGAATTGCCACACTGTCTTCCAGAATGGTTGAACTAATTTACATTCCCACCAACAGTGTAAAAGCATTTCTATTTTTCCACATCCTCTCCAGCATCTGTTGTTTCCTGACTTTTTAATGATTGCCATTCTAACTGGTATGAGATGGTATCTCGTTGTGGTTTTCATTTGCATTTCTCTAATGACCAGTGATGATTAGCTTTTTTTCATGTGTTTGTTGGTTGCACAAATGTCTTTTTTTGAGAAGTGTCTGTTCATATCCTTCACCCACTTTTTGATGGGGTTGTCTGTTTTTTTTTCTTGTAAATTTGTTTAAGTTCCTTGTAGATTCTGGATATTAGCCCTTTGTCAGATAGATAGATTGCAAAAATTTTCTCCCATTCTGTAGGTTGCCTGTCCACTCTGATGATAGTTTCTTTTGCTGTGCAGAAGCTTTTTAGTTTAATTAGATGCCATTTGTCAATTTTGGCTTTTGTCATTGCTTTTGGTGTTTTGGTCATGAAGTCTTTGCCCATGCCTATGTCCTGAATGGTATTGCCTAGGTTTTCTTCTATGGTTTTTATGGCTTTAGGTCTTACACTTAAGTCTTTAATCCATCTTGAGTTAATTTTTGTATAAGGTATAAGGAAGGGGTCCAGTTTCAGTTTTCTACATACAGCTAGCCAGTTTTCCCAACACCATTTATTAAATAGGGAACCCTTTCCCCATTACTTGTTTTTGTCAGTTTGTTAAAGATCAGATGGTTGTAGACATGTGGCATTATTTCTGAGGTCTCTGTGCTGTTCCATTGGTCTATGTATCTGTTTTGCTACCAGTACCATGCTGTTTTGGCTACTGTAGCCTTGTAGCATAGTTTGAAGTCAGGTCATGTGATGCCTACAGCTTTGTTCTTTTTCCTTAGGATTGTCTTGGCTATACGGGCTCTTTTTTGGCTCCATATGAAATTTAAAGTAGTTTTTTTTTTTCCAATTCTGTGAAGAAAGTCAATGGTAGTTTGTTGGGGATAGTATTGAATCTATAAATTAATTTGGGCAGTATGGCCATTTTCATGATATTGATTCTTCCTATCCTTAAGCATGGAATGTTTTTTCACTTGTTTTTGCCCTCTCGTATTTCCTTGACTGGTGGTTTGTAGTCATCCTTGAAGAGGTCCTTCACATCCATTGTAAGTGGTATTCCTAGGTATTTTATTCTCTCTGTAGCAACTGTGAATGGACATTCACTCATGATTTGGCTTTGTCTATTATTGGTGTATAGGAATGCTTGTGATTTTTACACATTGATTTTGTATCCTGAGACTTTGCTGAAGTTGCTTATTAGCTTAAGGAGATTTTGGGCTGAGACAATGGGGTTTTCTAAATATATAATCATGTCATGTGCAAACAGAGACAATTTGACTTCCTCTCTTTCTATTTGAATACTCTTTATTTCTTTCTCTTACCTGATTTCCCTGGCCAGAAATTCCAATACTATATTGAATAGGAGTGGTGAGAGAGGGCATCCTTGTTTTATGCTAGTTTTCAAAGAGAATGCTTCCAGCTTTTGCTCATTCAGTATGATATTGGCTGTGGGTTTGTCATAAATAGCTCTTCTTATTTTGAGATATGTTCTATCAATACCTAGTTTATTGAGAGTTTTTAGCATGAAAGGGTGTTGAATTTTGTTGAAGGCCTTCTCTGCATCTATTGATATAATCATGTGGTTTTTGTCATTGGTTCTATTTCTGTGATGGATTACATTTATTGATTTGCATATGTTGAACCAGCCTTGCATCACAGGGATGAAGCTGACTTGATCGTAGTGTATACACTTTTTGATGTGCTGCTGGATTCAGTTTGCCAGTATTTTATTGAGGATTTTTGCATCGATGTTCATCAGGGATATTGGTCTGAAATTTGTTGTTGTTGTGTCTCTGCCAGGTTTTGGTATCAGGATGATGCTGGCCTCATAAAATGAGTTAGGGAGGAGTCTGTCTTTTCCTATTGTTTGGAATAGTTTCAGAAGGAATGGTACCAGGTCCTCTTTGTACCTCTAGTAGAATTTGGCTATGAATCTGTCTGGTTCTGAGGTTTATTTGATTGGTAGGCTATTAATTACTGCCCCAATGAGGCATTTTTATTCACCACATTTAGAACAGGGTTTTTCAACCTTGGGACTACTGACATTTGGGTCTGATCATTCTTTGTTGCAGGTACTGCCATCCTGTGAATTGTAAGGTGTTTAGCAGCATCCCTGATCTCTACCCATTAGACACCAGTAGCACCATCTTCAAATGCCTTCAGACATTGCCAAATGTTGCTTGGGATAAGGCTTCCAGATTTGGCAAATAAAAATACAAGATTCCAGCTGGGTGCGGTGGTGTGTGCCTGTAGTCCCAGCTAGTCAGGAGTCTGAGGCGAGAAGATTGCTTTGAGGCCAGGAGATCATGGATGCAGTATAGTCACTGCACCCCAGCCTGGGCAACATAGTGAGACCCCATATCTAAACAAAACAGTGCAGGATTCCCAGGTAAATTTGAATTTCAGATAAATGACTAATCCTTTTAAAGTATATATACATCCCATATACTATTTTGCGAGCTTGTTTGTAGGTTCTAGCAGGGGAGCACAGCTACCCTTGACTGAAGGCTGGTCCTCCTTTATTGGGGATGGTTGTCCTCTTTGCCTCAGCATGCAGCTTCCAAAAGGACACACATGGAGCAGTAAGAGAGGAAGGGGACACCTGCCTAGCCAGCCAGATCAACCAAATCAGCCCTGGTGAGCAATGGGGTGACAGATGTGACAGCCAGATAACCCTCACACCCCTCATATACGATTTTAAACATCTATATAATATAAAATTATTTGTTGTTTATCTAAAACTTAAATTTAACTGTGTATCTGTATTTTATGTGGCAACTCTTCCTAGGAGACAAAATCACCTAGGTTGAGAACCACTGTTATAGATATTACAACCTCTTTAATGTTTTCAGGCAAACGATCTAGGACGAAAGTTATAAATTACCTATTACAATATATCAAGGCCAGGTGTGGTAGCTCAGCCTTTAATCCCAGCACTTTGGGGAGGGAGGGCAAGGGGAGGATGGCTTGAGTCCAGGAGTTCAAGACCAGTCTGAGCAATGTGGTGGGACCTCGTCTCTACAAACACTGTAAAAAGTAGCCAGGCATGGTAGTGTGTGCCTGTGGTCCCACCAGTCAGGAGGCTGAGATGGGAGGATCACTAGAGCCCGGGTGGTCAAGGCTGCAGTAAGCCATGATCATACCATGGCACTCTATCCTGGGTGACGGAGTGAGACTCTGTCTCAAAAAAACAAAAAGTATATGAAGTATAATAAAAACATGCACATCATTCAACCCAACAATTCTACTTTTAAATATTTTTCCTACAAAAATATTAATTCAAGAAGGCAGGGCTGTGCATAGAACAATGTTAGATTTAGCACTGTTTGTAATGGCAAAAAATTGGAGACAATATAAATCATAATAGTTAAATAAAGCATATTTTTGCATAAAGGTTAAAAGTATTCACACTAGGAACTAGGACACAGCCTTACAAAGTATAAGGTAGTTCTGTGTGTGCTAACATGCAAAGATGCCTATGAGAAATACTTACGTTTGCACTATAACAGAAAAAGATTTCCAGGATCTAAGACAAACTTAACTATGCTTATAGTAACAACTGGAGGTGGCCACTCTCACTTTTAAGTTTATACCTTTTTGCACTGTTGGATTTTTTAAAAATAAAAATATACATAAAATACTTAGGTAATTTAAAAAGCTATAAAATTATTTTTTTCAAAAAAGGCTCTTTTATCTGTGTTATGGAAAGATGAAATTTAAAAATACGAAAGGCCTTTAGCTTATAAAAACAAAATCGTTTTTAAAAAAGGCCTTTTACTAAGCATCTTGACAAAAACATCAGAATTTTTACATTTTTCATAGAGAAGAGATTGAAAAATCTTGTCCTGAAACCACCTTCATTTGAAGACTTGACTTTAAGAGATCGTGCGAACCATATTGTGTCACTAGCCCTGCTGCAATGATTGAATTTGAACTACGACCCCGGGCTACCTTACTGACCTTGACTGCAGGTTTTCCCAGTGTATCCTGGAAAGCATCTGCATTTGTTTGGTCCAATGCACTCACCAAATTTGCATCCAGGTTCGCATGTAGCTGTGGAAGAAGAAGATGTCTTGATGATAAAAGAACAGTAGTTAGTGTAGTGAGATGCACACAAAATTTAGAGCTATGCTTTTAGAATATTAGTTTAATATTCCTTTTGGGTGGCAGAGAATTCCATGGGGACATATGGAGGACCATCTGCCTCCTTTTGAGTCTGTTTTCACCTTTTAGACACTGGAAAGTATTTTTCCTGTAAACGAGGTAACCTCCCACCACACCCCCAGCCAAGGCATGCAACTTTATTGTAACTTTATTTGGCAATGCCACACTCCAGTGCTATTCCATGAAATATAAAGCCTCCCAGACCACAGCCAGCCAGTTTTGCATGTAAACACAAAATATTTAATAAAACAATTAGTAACCCTGGGCAAATGCCAAGGTCATTCCCCTTCCTTCTGTTTCTTGCCCCATTTCATCTCCTCCATATTTTCTCTATTGAATGATCAAAATCTTTTTAATGCTGTGCATTATCAATCAGACTGAACAACCAACAGATTGGAGGGAGGAAGGTACTACTTCTAGCCATAAGGATGAGAACTAAAAGCGTGATTATTATAATGAGGATGATAATAGAGGCATCAGAAAGCATCACAAAGGCAGGATTTGTTTTTCTATTGTATTCACTTCTTTGTCCCAACTCCTGACACAAAGTACACAATAAATACTTGTTCAATGACTAAAGTGGTAGGAGAAACAACAGGTAGGATGTTATAACTGATTCAGTTGGTGGCAAGAAAACAAATAGTCAAAGATAATGGACAGTTTGATTCCAGCTCATAGGGAGGAAATAAAGAGAAAAAGCAGTAGATAGGAAAAAAGGTAAATGGGAAAGCCCCAAGAGTAGAAAGGGAGAGGATACAATATATGAGAGAGAAAGGAGACTCTTAGGGTATCAAGGACTCTCAGCAGTTTCTGGATACAATGGGAGCGTGAGAAATAGCCATAATATGAAAGAATGACTCAGCAATTGCCCAGGAATGGTATGTGTCTACTTCTCCATCCATCAATTCCCCTAGGTCCACTTCTAAGCAAACCTGTTCCTAAAGATATCCGCATCTTTCCCTACAACCCCAGACCCTATCTTTTGTTAATATCATAATTCCTCTCCCAGTTACCTGGATTCAAAAATTTCAGTTTTCTATTTTTTCTTGACTCCATACCACTCAGTTGTAACATCCAATCCTTGTTTCTACTACCAACTCATCCATTGAACAACTATCTATCTAGCTAACGAGAACTGCCTTGCCCACAGACACTTGGAAGATGATGCTGAATACCTCTCTCTCTGTTTTCCCCACTGTAGCTGTGACCAATGCCTTACTGATGCAAGGGTCTAACAGCCTAGTTCCTTGTTTCTTGCCAAGACAAACTCTTGTGCAATTAACACCCTAGTGGTCCCTGTGAGATCAGGCTGAAGCTAGACTTCTTTTGAAAACATATCTCTGCCTAGCCCCTTCCCCTGCACCCTCATTCCCTTTCAAATTGCTCCTAAGACACCCTTTAATGGAATATTTGTACAAGAATCCCCTTTTCAGGCTCTGCTGCTAGCAAACTTGATATCAGACACGACATTAATATTCCAAAAGCATAGCTCTGATTATGCCACACCTTGCACAGAGGTCATCATAGACTCTTTATTACCTCCTGAATACAGTACAAGTATCATAACCAAGTTAAAACTAGCATGATCTGGCCAGGCATGGTGGCTCACACCTGTAATCCCAGCTCTTTGGGAGGGCGAGGAGGGCAGACCACCTGAGATCAGGAGTTTGAGACTAGCCTGGCCAACATGGTAAAACCCCATCTCTACTAAAAATACAAAAATTAGCCAGGCATGGTGGCGGGCACCTGTAATCCCAGCTACTTGGGAGACTGAGGCAAAAGAATCAGTCGAATCCAGGAGGTAGAGGTTACAGTGAGCTGAGATTGTGCTTTCGCACTCTAACCTGGGCGACAAAGCAAGACTCTGTCTTAAAACAAAACAAAACAAAACAAAACCCACAAAAACAAAAAATCAAACCTAGCATGATCTGGCCTCCACCTTTTCTAGTCCCCCTAGGCAAAGGCAACACTGTGGGCAAAAGACATTGCTTGCTTGTTCTCCAGACCTACCCTTTGCTTTCTGCCTTTTCTTACCCCTCTGTAGGATACTCTTCCCTGGGTTTCCAGTAGTTAATATAGTTAATATTCTCCCCATTCTGCAAGGACCAACTCCTGGCATGGCCCCTTCTTCTTCATCTTTTTTTTTTTTTTTTGCGGGGGGGCCGGGGTGGGCCAGGGCCGACAATGCCCATGGCCCCTTCTTCTAAAAGCCTTTACAGATTTCTCCAGCCACCTATGAATGCCTGTTCAATTTCAAGAACTTCACAGAACTTTGGCAGGCCTCTCCTGTGAAACTGATCAGTTTTTGTCTTATTAAACAATGAGGCATATAGTTAGCTACAGTGTTTGTTTTTCATCCACTACTTGTTTCCAAGTGCCTTCAGGATAGGGACTTAAACATTAATCACTGTTTCTCCCATAGCGTTTAATATAGTGTTGTAAACATGTTTAATATTTGAACATTTTTGAATAAAGAATAAAGTAATTGTTGTGGAACTTTTAATAGGGGAATATTTTATGGCCCTGAACAAATCAAAAGGGAAAAATGCTTCCCCAGCAAAGTTTTTCCACCTTTAGAGACAAAAGAGAGAATTTAATTTCCAATGTCTACTTTGTTATAGATATGTACTTGGAGTTGCAACTTTAAATTCAGATGCTAGAAAAATAAATCTTTTTTTTTTTTTAAGCCCTGAAAACCTCTGGTTGTTCCCTGGAAACTGATTTCCAATGTGGTCCAGACAGGAAAGCCCAGGATATATGCCAAATAGAATGTAGGATAAATGGTGAGTAATACCCTTGCTATAAGGCTAAAGCTTCAGAAAGATGTTTTCAATTTACAGTAACTTTGGATCTGTGACTTGAACAGCCAATCCACAGCAAGGGAAATTCAGTTTGTGTTTAAAATGGCCCGAGATTGAAGCATGCTTTAGACAAAGTGAAAGTCTTATTCAGTTCTCCCCCAAACTTCTCCACCTGCAGCTTTTCATCAGGTACTTGTTTCTGGACAACTCTGTATTTCATCTCACTAAAATGACATACATTTTAAAGTTAATGATATCGAATTGATGAGACCCTGCCTTGGGAGCAGATTTAGACAGGGTAGAGGCTAAGAGCTAGAGAGCTCCAGTATGCATGGAGGCAGGGCTTCAAGAGGAGTGAAGGGCAAATAGATGGACCGAGGGGAAGGCCTGGGTGGACTGGGACCTCACAGCCTGGGGTCTGGCTCTGCTTGCTGGGGCAGGCTGATATGCATTCTTATTATCAAGCATCCCACAACTCTGGCTTCGAAATTAGAAACCCAGAAATCAGGGACTAACTACCCTGTTATTTGGCGCCTCAAGGAACACATGACTTTACCATCAAGAAGTATCATGTAGATTGGATAAAACACAATACACATTTTAGATCTAAAAGTCATTGCAATTTAAGATCTAAGTATTTGACTGGAGCAGTAGGGGTGCTGACCGTCTCTTCAGCTTGCAAAACTTGCAGAGTGAGCATTCTGCTTGAGCCCTCCACACTTGCCCTTTTGACATCTTGCTTTAAATTCTTTCAGGCCTGTGGGATTATACAGTTCCTGAAAGCACTGAGAATGTGATTGGCTGCGTGCGTCATGGCCAAACTGCTCTTATCCAGTTACAGAAAAGCCCTTCCTGGAAGCCAAACCTTACCTTCATTTATTGACCAGCGACATGCTGGGTCTTACAGTTTTATAGCAGTAGATGTTGAGTTCGTTCAACTGTAAGAGAGATTCTAAATCATGTGTTTCACGTGGTTTTTGCCCCTTTCCACCTGACTGACTTCAAATAAAAATGTGTTATGTTATGTCTAGAAAAAGAATAAAGTCACATTTAATCCCCCCATCACCTGGTGCTTTAATGAAGAGAAGTCTGTGATGAGAATTATTGGTCCTTCCCAAAGGAATGGTAATTTATGAGGTATTTTCTATGCATGCCAGGTAATGAACTCACCCTTTAATGCATACATTTCTTACCCTCAATGGTAGGTATTACTCTCTACATGTTGCAGAGGAGGAAATGGAGGCTTAACTAGCTTACCTTAGCTAGCTTGACCTAGCTAGCTTGCCCAATGTCACCCACGTCAGTCGTTCTCAATGCCCTTGATTGTGACACTATCAATCCAATCAGTATGAGGACCCACCCTTTTAATTGACACAAGTCCCAGGAGGATATTCTATCTTCTTTATCTAAGTGGGAAATGATGATCTTTGTTTTTTTCTAGTATTTTCATGCTTTTGCCATCTTGTCACAAGCAAATTATGAGGGCAGAAGGTTTTGCATAATATGGAACACGTGGACGCGATATCAATATTTTCTACTGTTTTATAGATTTTGGATATTATCAAGTTCTTCCCCATTTATGGTCAATCCAGATATTTTTGAACCAGCTAGAGAGAAGGAGGTTGGGGCAGGAACAGACCAGCAAAGAAAAGGTAGCATTGTTATTTCTAAAAATAGCTAACATGTTAGCGCTTTTATGGGACCTGCAATTGGGCTGTTATCCCATTTAGCAGATAAAGAACTTAGGATGAGGCATATGCTACCTACTGAAGGACACAGGAACAGTGAGAGTAGATTCCTGTCCTAAAGGAACATACCCCTGGTGAGATAGTCAGTTATGAGGGATGTGGATTTGGTTCTGCTACACTGCCAGTTTTGGTCATTATGGAAAGTCATAAAAAGAAAAACAAGGCAAAAATTTATGCTCATCTCTACCCTCCTCAACCTCCTTGAAATGATCAGAGGCCTCTCCTGGAGTTCCTAACACATACTCTGAGAAATGTCCAATGTATAACAAAATCAGCAAAATACTTAAAATATTTGCATATATGCATGTGTAACTTGAAAACATTTAGAAATTGGCAGTATGGATTTTTAAAATGTGAGTAACATATCTGTAAGCTAAAAGGCTTACTTGTTTTGAGGCTGAAGCCTACTAGTCGGGTGATTAATAATTAAAAAGTATATTTTATTGGAAGTCAGCTGGAAAAAACTATAATTAGAGGAGGAATTTATTGGCCTGCTTTTGCCCATCTTAGTTCCTTTAGATTAAAAAGAAAACAAACAACCTAGTCATACTCACTAAGATAATCATGAAAATAATTGACAAGACAGTCTTCTAAAATAAATCATGCCAAATATGATAGTGTTAGTCACATTTTGTCTGGGAAGAGATCTCATAGGAACCCAGACATTGGTTATTGGTAGTTATGTATGTCCTTGCCTAAGAGATCCACTGGCAATTTTGTGGCAGTTCATGGTGTGACATATAAAAACCCAAGGGCCCTGATCTAAGTGTAGGGTCTGAATTTTTACAAAATTACCTTCACAGACTCCTTTGCTGTTTCTTCTCCAGCCGTAGCAGCAGGCCAGTCTAGTTCCATAGTGACAGACCCCAGGCTGATGTGCCGATGTTAACAATCCATGATCCCTTGCACTGCAGATAAAGAACTATATGTTAGTATTGAGAAAATAGAAAAGACAGCAGAAACTCTTCCCTACTACAGAGATGTCAATTACCTGGTTAATTTCGAGAAACCTGCAGCAAGTGCTAAATCATATTTTGAAAACATGAATTGTTGGTTTGCCAGCCTTCCTCAATAATTAGTTTCAACCATTTCCTTCTTCCCCATGGTTAAAAGAATTGGGTTACATAATCTATAAAAGTAGGGCACATGAAGATGTCCAAAATGTATGTTTTTGAACCTTGTAGAGTGCCACTTTTCAGATCTGCTCTGTATAGGCACAGTAACTGTCCAGTTCTTTGTCTAGTTCAGTGACTTTCTGGCCCTGTGGCTTTGTCCCAGACCAGAGCTCTACACTTTTACCCCACTGGCACCTGGGAACCATTGAATAGACTGGAATCACCACAGACTATAAATGATTAAGAGCTGAAAGGGCTCATTCAACAAAGCGCTCTCATGTTACAGAGGAGGAATCTCCTGTTCAATGGAGTGGAGTCACCTCCCCAGCAGAGCTGGGTGTTGGGAATTCTAGCTCAGGGCTCACTGCTGTTCCACGTGACCTCCTGGAAACCCAATTTGCTAAACTCCTTAATTTTAGAGCAGAAATCGGCAAACATTTTCTGTAAACAGCCAGATGGTAAGTATTTTAGGCTTTGTAGGGCCGTAAGATCTCTGTCCAAGCACAAAAGCAGCCATAGGCAATAGTAAACAGATGGGCATGATTGTGTTCCAATAAAACTTTATTTATGGACACTGAAATTTGAATAGCATATAATTTTCCTGTGTCATGATATACCTTTTGAGCCATCTTCTAACATTTAAAAATGTAAAAACTGTTCTTGACTCATGGACTGTTTACAAAGAGGGGATCACCTAGCCTTGGCCCACAGGCTGTAGCTTGCTTGATCTAGATGCCTGAAAAAGGTGACTCTCCTGCGCCTCACCAAGTGCCCCCAAGTAGTGCTGCCATGGATGAAGCTCACTGCATGTTTACCTATTTACTGTCCTGGTGTTGGACAGGGTTGCTACCAGACTTTGAAGAAAAATACTTGCATTGTGTATTTAGTGGAGGGCTGTGACTATTTCCTTACACATATTAAATACACTGTAAAAATGTTTCCTGGATTCTTTAACAGACAAAGGAATGCACATTTTACCATGTGCTTTCTGCTACAGGACTGAACTTTATGCAAGTTAAAAATATCTAAGCCAAGGTCGGGAAGTTAAACAACCTTGTAGATTTCCCTCATGGTCTGCCTCTCCCACAAATTTGATTACTCAGTTAAGAGCTATAAAGATATGGTCTGAGACATTTCATTTACTGAGAGCACCAAATGTGAAGATGATTTTAACATTTACTTTTTCTTGAAGGGGACTTTTTTTCATTTGTTAATGGAATTAATTTTAGGGATTCATAAATCACTCAAACATTTAGAACAGGGTTTCTCAACTTCTACACAATTGACATTTTGGGCCAGATCATCGTTTGTTGTTGGGAGTTGTCTTATGTGTTGTAGGACATTTAACAATGGTCTTTATCTACAGATGCCAGTAGCATACACCCCTCTAGTTCTGACAATCAGAAATGTCTCCAGACATTGCCAAATGTCCCCTGGAAGGTAAATTTTTCTTTCATTAAGTAGTACTATTTCAAAGTAAAGCATTTATTGTGTACTTGCTATGTTCCAAGTACTGTCTTAGGCACATAAAGTACAGTGATGAAAAGGACCTGGTCTTTGCTCTCTTAAGTTCACAGTCTGTTGGAAACAGATGCATTCAAGTATAGGACAGCATGGCAAATATTATTAAAATGCTCTGATAAAGAGTTTTGACTGAGAAATAATGCAGCCATCTGCCTAATGTAATTTGTGTATTCCTAACAATTCTGCAAGGGATACCACAATCTTGACCTAGTCTGCGCTTAACTAACAGTTTCCAAATAACCTATGATAAACTCCAATATTCCTAGCACAGTAGGGTGACTACAGTTAGCAACAATGTATTGTATATTTCCAAGTAGCTAGAAGAGAGAAACTGAAATGTTACCAACACATAGAAATGATAAATACTCAAGATATTTGAGTATTTGATGGATACCCTGAGTACCCTAACTGGATCATGATATAGTCTATGTATGTAACAGTCACATGTACCCCATAAATATGTAAAATATTTTGTATCAGTAAAAAAGAAGAAACTATGGGTGACTAACCATAAAGTATGATGAATAAATAAGTGCCAGTCCAAATACAATGATGTCCTTAATACATTTTTAGTTTTAGTATTTTAAAAATTGAGATACAATTCATATAACATAAAATTCACCATCTTAAAGTGTACACTTCAGTGATTTTAGTATTTTCAATGTTAATGCACTCATCACTTCTATTTAGTTCCAGAATATTTCCATCACCCCAGAAAGAAACCCCATACCGATTAACTAACTCTCCATCCCCTGGCAACCACAAATCTGCTTTTTGTCTCTGGATTTGCCTATTCTGGATATTTCATATAAATGGCATCATAAGATATGCAGCCTTTTGTATCTGGCTTCTTTAACTTAGTATGTTTTCAAGCTTGATCCATGTTGTAGCCTGTAACAGTACTATATTTCTTTTTATTGCTGAATAATATTCCATAATATGGATATACCACATTTTATTTATCCACTTATCAGTTGATGGACATTTGAGTTGTTTCTACCTTTTGGTCATCATGAATAATGTTGCTATAAACATTGGAGCACAACTTTTTGTGTGGACATATGTTTTAACTTCTTTGGGGTGTATACCCAGGAGTGGGATTACTGGGGCATATGGTGCAATGGACAGAATGTTTGTGTCCTCCAAAATTCATATATTGAAACCCTAATGCCAATGTGATGGTATTTGGTGGTGGGGCCTTTGGGAGGTAATTAGGTCATGGGGTGGAGCCTTTATGAATGGGATTAGTGCTCTACAAAGAAAAGGCCAGAAAGCTTGAGAAGTTGGCAGCCTGCAACCCAAAAGAGTGCCTTACCAGAATCTGACCATGCTGATACCCTGATCTTGGAATTCCAGCCTTCCGAACAGTGAGAAATAAATTTCTATTGTTTATAAGCCCCCCAACCTATGGTAATTTGTTATAGCAGCCTGAACTGACTAAGACACATGATGGCTGCATGTTTAACTTTCTGAAGAACTGCCAGACTGTTTTTCAACATGGCTACATCATTTCACTTTCTCACCAGCAATATATGAGAGTTCCAATTTCTCCACATCTTCACCAGCACTTGTTATTGTTCATTTTTTAAAACTGTAGTCATCCTAATGCCTGAGAAGTAGCATCTTGTTGTTTTGATGTGCATTTTCCTGATGGCTAATGATGTTAAGTGTCTTTCATGTGTTTATAGACCATTTGTATATCTTATTTGGAGAAATGTCTATTCAGGTCCTTTACCCATTTTTTAATTGGCTTATTTGTTTTAATGTTTTTAAGATTTGAACACAAGATTGAAATTTTTTGGTAAAAACAACTATCCCCATACCTTGGTGAAAAAAAAAAAAAAACACAAAAAACCCTTCCGCATAGATACATGATAAGTCCATTTCTTAACCATACACATTTGTGACAAACCTTGACAAAATACTACAATCTGCTTTCACCTCTTCCTTTAACAGCACGAAGCTGATGCCTGGGGGAGCAAAATGGAAAGAGGAACTAATTTTGCCTGGGAAAGAGGAGAAAAATGTCACAGGGTAGGTGACATTTGAGTTAGATTTCAAAAGAAAACATGATGAAAGAAAAGTTGTATACGGAGAAATTCTGCCTTTGGAATTTTAATTCCATATTTTTATAAGAAATGTGGGATTCATTTAATTAGAGTTCAATCTAGCAACAAAATCTTAGAGATGATGTGCCAACTTCTTGACTGCAGATTTGCAAGCAATATGCTCCCCAATCACAATAGGAAGGACCTTACCTATTTACTGATGCAAAAAAAAAATTCAGTATAATCCTCAATAGGGCATTAATATGTATGAAGTATAGTGCTAGGTGCTGATGATACATTATAAACCTGGCAGAGAGGGTCCCCTACTCATGAGCTTTTAGACAAGGGGTTCAGGGTAATAGAGGCATTCAATATATTCAGTCTATTACAGAAGCTTAAATCAAAGAAACATAATTCAGTCTAAGGGGTCCTAGATATTCCCTTTGAAGGTGCAAACTTTAAATTAGACTTGAGACAAACAGGGTTCAACCACATAAATTGTAAGAATATTACAGGCAAAGGGAATAGAATGAGTGCAGACTAAGAAGTAAAAGACACCGTGCTTGTGCTTGAGGAATGAGTAGATGACCAGAAAAATAGAGCAAAGGTAGGGAGGAGTCAGTTTGTAAGAGATGAGCCCCAAGAGGTGGGCATAGGCTACATCACAAAGGGTCTTGTGAATCAAGTTAGGGTTTTGGGTTTTATATCTTAATGGCAATAGAACAGCACTGAAGGGTTTCAAGTAGGAAGGTTATTTGATAAGGTTTTTCTTTTGAAAAACATTACCATGAAAGCAGTCCAGAAGATAGACTTGGAGGGAGGCAGAATGGAAGAAAAGATATCAGTTGGCTCAGAAGATAGATTCTACTTGCTTGGGCTGGATCAGTAGCAGTGGAGGTAAGGAGAAATGAATGGCATCAAAGTGGGACCAAAAGACTTGGTAATGGATTAGAGTCATTCATTCATTCAACAAGTACTTATTGAATGCATACAATGTATCATACACTGGGCTAGTTACCAGAAGTTCATTAGCAACCAAAAGAGAAATAAGATTTCTGTCCTCATGGAGCTTATATCCTCGTTGATTGGCCATAGAATGTGAGAGGGATGCACCATCAGGTAGATGGCAGCACTGTATTTCTGGAATGAGGAATATGGATGGAGGAATATGTTAGGGAATAGGATAGATGATGAATTCTTTTTGGCACATGCTGATTTTGA